ACCAACCAGCGTCGTCTTCGATGAGGTCCAGTAAGTCGACCAACAAGTCGCAAAGCAACAATGTACTAATGGAAACTGCAGCTTCGGTGGGTTCGCTACCAAGTACATCAAGGGCAAGTTCTTTATGGATGTCCATCCTCCTCTAGCCAAACTCCTCATCACCCTGGCCGGCTGGCTGGCCGGCTTCAACGGCGACTTTGATTTTAAGGACATCGGGAAGGATTATCTGGAGCCCAAAGTCCCTTACGTCTCGATGCGCCTCCTGCCTGCTATCCTCGGAGTTCTCACTATTCCCACGATGTTTTTGACCTTGAAAGCGTACGGATGCCGAACAGTCACGGCTTGTCTCGGCGCTGCGCTCTTGATCTTCGAAAACGGATTGATCACACAATCGAGGTTGATTCTTCTCGACTCACCCTTGGTCATCTGCACCGCTTTCACCGCTCTGGCATGGACTTGCTTCACAAACCAACATGAACTGGGTCCCGACCGAGCTTTTGACGCAAGCTGGTGGTTTTGGCTTGCAGCTACTGGTTTGGGCCTGGGTGCCACCGCCAGCGTCAAATGGGTTGGCCTCTTCACCATCGCCTGGGTGGGCAGCTTGACCATCCTCCAATTGTGGGTTCTGCTTGGCGACAGCGTCAACGTCAACCCGAGGAAATGGTTCAAGCATTTCTTTGCCAGGGTCTTCTGTCTGATTGTCATCCCGATTGCATTCTATGTGGGAATGTTTGGGATTCATTTCCTTTGTTTAGTTAATCCCGGCGACGGTGACGGATTCATGTCTTCCGAATTCCAAGCAACCTTAAACAACAAAGGCATGGCCGACACTCCTGCCGACGTCTTGTTTGGCAGCGAAGTGACCATTCGGCATCACAACACCCAGGGTGGCTACCTCCACTCCCATCCGCACATGTACCCCGGTGGCAGCAAACAACAGCAAGTTACACTATACCCCCATAAGGACGAAAACAACATTTTTCTACTCGAGAACCAAACGCAGCCGGTCACCGCCGACAACGTCACCATTGCAGGCCCTAAAGCGTGGTCCAACTCTACCGAGTTCATCAAGGACGGCGACATTATCAGGCTGTACCACATAACAACCCATCGGCGCATTCACTCTCATGATGTCCGACCTCCTATTACCGAGGCCGACTGGCAAAATGAAGTAACTGCTTACGGCTACGAAGGATTTGAAGGCGACGCTAATGACCTCTTTCGGGTGGAGATTGTCAAGTCTATGTCTGATGGCGAAGAAGCCAAGAAGAGGCTGAGAACCATTCAGACCAAATTCAAGCTGGTTCACATCATGACCGGCTGTGTCCTCTTCTCACACAAGGTCAAACTACCTGATTGGGGATTCGAGCAACAGGAAGTGACTTGTGCTAAAGGAGGCACCCTTCCCAACAGCGTGTGGTACATTGAACAGAATCAGCATCCAATGCTAGGGGAAAATGCAGAGAAGGTTAACTACAGGAATCCTGGCTTCTTGGGCAAGTTCTGGGAATTGCAAAAGGTCATGTGGAGGACAAATGCCGGCTTGGTTGAGTCGCATGCATGGGATTCTCGACCGGGCTCCTGGCCAATCCTCCGTCGTGGAATCAATTTCTGGGGCAAAGATCATCGTCAGATCTATCTTCTCGGAAATCCCGCCATTTGGTGGCCCTCGAGTCTGGCCATCTTGACCTATATCATTTTCAAGGGCATCGCAGTCCTACGCTGGCAACGCAGCTGCAATGATTATTCCAACGTCAACTTTAAACGATTCGACTATGAAATCGGCCAGACTGTTCTTGCTTGGGCGTTTCACTACTTCCCCTTTTACTTGATGGCAAGACAACTGTTTCTGCACCACTACTTCCCAGCCCTGTACTTCGCCATCATGGCTATGTGCCAAATTTTTGACTTTGTCGTCAATCGCATCTCGTCTCTCGGATTGAAGAAGTATCCCGAGATTGGCTGGAGTGTGGCTGTGCTGTTTGTGGCTTTCGCGATCGGCGTGTTCACCTTGTACGCTCCATTGATCTATGGCAATCCGTGGACACAAGACCAATGCAGATCGGTCAAATTGTTTGATACTTGGGACTTTGACTGCAATACTTTCCACACTGATGTAAGCCAGACAAAATTGCTCGACGTGACACAAAACTGACCGGAAATAGTACGCCCAGTACTCAACACCACTTCCATCCTTGGGAGAAGGTGGTGCCACTCCCACTGTTCCGTCAATGAAGATTGACTCGGAGAGAAAAGATGACCCTTCAGCAGTCACTCCCCAGGTAGGTGAAGGGAAGGTGATTGGCCAAGAGGAGCGGATTGAATATCGCGATCAGAACGGGAACCTGTTGGATGAAGCCCAGGTCCAAGCGTTGTTGGCCGAAGGCAAGGCATCCTTCCAGACCAAATACGAGACCAGGACGAGACTGGTTGATGAGCAAGGCAACGAGGTCAACGCTCCAGGAGTTGCCCCTGACCACCCGGATGTAGAAGGCCAGAACCCGTCGACGAAGGGTGTACCAGAAGAGCAGGCCAACAAGTCGCCTGCGGATGCCCAGGCCGACGGATCAGTGAAGAAGGGAGATGGGAGCAAAGCCAAACCGGCCAGCGATGCGAGTGAAGCAACGAAGTAAATGAGGGTTGGATCGGCCATGGGCAAGGAGTGGAGAGAATAGATGCCACGAGAATCTGAGTGTAATAACAATAGAACCGAAATGTTTTGGTAGCTCGGACAGCAAGCACGACGAGGTTGTAACGGGGCCTTTGGGGCGGCCTGGGCGGCCCTGACAGTTTTGACCACCAGGCCGTGCCTCCTTTAACCGTTTGAGTGCCGTTCAGGCGGGAGGCACCCAGAGGCGACCAACTAACTCGAATTGTTTAGTGGGCAGCCACCTGGGGGGACAAGGGCCACAGAAGGGCTGGTTACAGTGGTTAGTTGGTAGCAGGCTCAAGCAGGCTGAACCCCTCGATCCCGATCCCTGAAACTCAGGGACCCGCGTCACAGATCAACATCCCCGTCCTGCGTCCTGCGCAGCAACAACCACCGTCGCAACAAAAACATTCCTCTTCACCCTGTATCTTGCACAACCCGTCCAAATCTTTTCTTCACCAGGACAACCTCAGGTCACTGCTTTTATTCTTGGCTTCTTGTTTGCGCTGATTGATCTGTCCCCTAGGCGTCTCCAACCGGGACTCTTTCTCTCCTCTGGTTGTCGCCAATTTCATTGCGCCTCCACTGGTATCCGTCTTCCTCCCTTCATAGGTGCAGCCATGAGCGAATCAAGGTAATTTTGCAATCATCCCCAGGCCAGCGAGACTCGAAGAAATATGCAGGGCGTTATTAACATGGGCGCAGGCAAGAATTGCTCGCATGGCTGAACGGCCTCCTGCAACTCAACATCACAAAGGTCGAACAATGCGGGACAGGGTAGGATATGAACCCGAAAGACATAAGATCAGATACTAATACAGCACTCGACAGAGCCGCACTCTGCCAGCTATTCGACTCCATCTTCCGTACGTCGACCCCTCTGTCGCCTTTCCGCTCCCTGAGAAATTGTGCTTGTGGCACAAGAGACGATACGCGGGCACTGATTGGCGACTACAGTTGATATTCCCATGAGCCGGGTAAAATTCAATGTCAATACCGAATACGCCTACATACAAAACTTCAAGATTCTGCAAAGTACGTTCGCAGTGGAGGGTGGCGGATCCTTCCTTTTACTTCGCACGCCGCTGACCACGATGTGACAGACTGCTTCACAAAGCACGGCATCGACCGAACCGTGCCAGTCGAGCAGCTCGTCAAGTGTAAAATGCAAGATAACCTGGAGTTCCTGCAGTGGTCGAAGCGATTCTGGGATCAATATTTTCCGGGTCATGATTATGACGCTGTCGCACGAAGAAAGAGTGCGGGTGCGGCCACACCAGCTTCGACCGCTCCGAGAACAAGTACCGGGGCCAGCACCACTCGAAAAACCGGGACGACGCCTGTCAATCGGCCTGCGCCAAGGGCCGTGGGTGCTGGGGGGGTCAGTTCATCTGCATTGAAGGCCGAAAACGAATCGCTGAAGGAAGCAATTGCGGGACTAGAGAAAGAGCGAGACTTCTATTTCAGCAAACTCCGCGACATCGAACTGCTCTTGCAGAATGCGGTCGAACAGGATCCCTCCCTTGAAACCGACGAAAACGGTCTCGTGAAGAACATCCAGACCATACTCTATAGCACAGAGGAAGGATTCGAGATCCCGGACTTGGAGGCGAATGGAGCAGAAGAACCAGAAACATTCTAGGGGAAGACAACCAACAGATTGACGAAAAATTGCCCAACCATCAGGAGCAGTGGAATGTGAAAGGAATGACACAGCCGGTTAACAGTATCGTGACGAGTGGATGAACAAAAGAGAGCATATCTTGTGCTTGGAATAGATGCAGGCTTTTTCGTGTACAATTTCGACGTCAAAATGGTTACAAAAGAATACTCAGACGGTGGCGACGGGTGGCAGGGACTTGCAGCTCTCGCTGAAACTAGGGGTCTCATGCAGAGGGATACCGAGATACCGGTCGCACGAATCCGTTTTTGCTGCAATTTGGCGATGAGACATTGTTATCCTGCGAGCCATTCTTGACCGGGAGCCATAACACTCGCGAGAAACGAAGGCTAATATCACGTGTTTTCCTAGCCGAGAGAGGAGTAGTCATCAGTTGCTGCTTTTGCCAATATCCTGGGCAGGTTTCTCAGCCTCATATACCGAGTACTCAATACAGACCACCTAATGTTGAAACCACTGCTCACGCTTGAAAGACACAGGTTCGAAAGTCGTCCATCGTCGGCAGTGATATTCTAGTTAAACCCAACCCAGATGTTCCATTCGCGGCGTAAAACTCCTTCTGCCTTTCGCTCCTTACAATTACGCGCTCAGGCCAAATCCTCCGGCACCTCGTCGTCGAACGGAGCATAATTTACATCAAGGAACCCAACCCTCCGATCGTCGTTGCCATCAGATCATCTCCACGCCATCATCGTCCTTGTGGACCCAATACGCGGGCTTCGAACCCTGATGCATCCCGCCAACGCGGTAGGCGAGCTGGACCAGACTGGGGCCCTTCCCCGTGGAGGAGGCAGGGGTATCGGTGCCGACGCCGATCCACATCAGTGGCCGGGTGTGATGGTGGTGGGCGTGGGTATGGGAGTAGTTGGGCCGGATCGCAGGTAGCTCCGAGGTGGTGACCAGGCACTTTACATTGAGCCGGACGAAGCCCCAGCTGTGCCACTCCTTGAGCTCGAAGGAAAAAATCGTGCCGCCGACGATGTCGAGCTCGTATGCCGCGTTCTGCGCGCTCGGCATCGCCACGCTCGACTTGCCTGTCTTACCGTCCTTCCACGCATAGATGGCCGATCTGGAGCTGGAGCTGGATTATGCCCACAGGTCGTAGTGGATGACGACTCCTTCGCCTGCGGACAAGAATACGGGGAAGTCGGCGGCGGTGCTGGTATCTTTGGCTGCGCAATTACCTTCGCCTTCGCCCTCGCCCTCACCCTCACCCTCACCCTTGCCGTCCTCAGTCTCAGACTCAGACGCTGTCTCCCGCTCCCGCTCGGGTTCGGGCAAACTGAGCCACCCGGACTTGATACAGGTTCCTTCGCCGTTATCCCGCACCGGCTCGTGCACCGCGACCGTCAGGGCTTCGATATCCCTCCGGGCGTGGTCGACGTGGAAGAATGAGGGCCGGACCATTGCTTGCAAAGTATGATAAGGTGCCCTGTATGGCATGTAGTGCAGTTCGGTATTTTGTTTTTGCTTTGGAGTTAGGTCTGCGCTGTCCTTTCTTGTCCCAGCCGTAGATTGCAAGGGATAGAAACAGGAGAAGAAGGAGAAGGAGTCGCAGAAGAGAAGATCTATATAGAAATGAGGAAGTACAGTCTCGTTTGGCTTTTCCGGCCCTGTGAAATGCTATACACTCCGAACAGGGTTGGTTGTGTGGGTTGGACAGGTAATTAGACAGTACCGAGCAAACATAGACGAAGACGAAAATGAAGGCGAAGAGGCCCTAGCAGTTTTCTTTCCTCTTGACTGAACGAGATTTATGGCTGATCCATTTCTTTCCTCCTCTTCTCTCCCTCTCGTTTACATGTTTAAAGTTTGCGACGCCCTTCTGATTGCGCTGGTCTGGCTTGGGTTGGTCTGCGTTGCATTGCAAACGACCCTGCGTTGCTGTTTCTGATAGGGTATGTGGTGGTCGTTGAAGTCATAGTCACGGTCACGGTCACGATCATGGCCACCAATGATTCATTGTCGTCCTCTCATTAAGAGTCAGTCATACATAAGTGAATCAACAGTCCCCGTCAAACAAACGAACACGCTCGCTTTCGATCGCGTCCCTCCACAGGTTTCAGCACTTCAGGGTGTCAGCAAAGGTCACCCAAAGATATTGGTAGGGACGGGATTAGTCGGTGTCGGTGTCAGTCCATTCATACTCATGCCAGTGCAGAGCCCGAGGCATTAGGATCCAACCAAGTTGAAAAAGGGAAATACCGCTTGGACACTATGACATGCATGAAAGCTCCTTGATGCCGGAGGGGTTTTCTTCATCGCTCATGTCCAGGCGACCTTGTGAGCTTGTTGATCTTGGAGCTAGCTAGCACGGCAAGTGGAGATTTAAGTATGTAAGTGAGCAAGCAAGGTCCCGACTCTGTGACGAAGGCGAAGATAGACAAGGAGACAGATATCAGCCACGCCCAATGCAATACAGCAAGGCTAGAACCTCACAACAGCTCCGCCATGACACCTGACCTCCCAAGCCGCGTCCCCGTGTGTCCCATGCACCGCGCGAAAGATATTCTCGGGGCTGCCCTCGTCGACGCCGATCCAAATAGGCACGCCAACGGTGTCACCCGTGGGACAGAACTCGTCGTTTGCCGCGGCGATCAGGGCCTTCACTTGGAGTCGCACGAAGCGAGCTGGCTCCACTGCGGCTTCGAGCACTGAGAACTCGATCACCCGCGAGCCCACGATCCGGATCTTGTGCTCGGGCATACCGGCGATGGGTTCAGCGGGGAATGTGACTGTTCGTGGTATTTTGTCGCTGTCGTTGTCCTCATGGCAGAAGCGATCGATGTCGCTGTGATACGGCTGTCGAACACACGTCCACGGCCCGTGCAAATGGCCTTCTCTGACAATGACGCCCTTGCCGGGCGAGATGCACACCGGGAACGGCTTGGGCACGACCTCGAGGCCCGTGTGGCCCAAGTGGAAAAACACCTGGGCGTTACCGGTTCGGGGGGCGGGAGCAGTAGGTCCGAATGTTGACATTCCAAGATGGTCTGAGGAAGCGGCGGACTGGTCGACTTCGACTTTGCGGCACGGGTCGGTCTTGTAGTTGTGCTCCGTGACGCCGTTGGGGGCTGGCGACGGTTGGCTTGTGGACTGCGCCATGGGTTCTTTGTATCCAAGATGTCGGCGGTCGTGGATTTTCGGAAAATACGTAGACGTGTGGCTAATGGCGAGAGAATCTGAAAGATTTGCTGGCTGGTCTGTGTCAGAGGAACCAACCTGTTGAGTATTCTCGAGATGTAACGTGGCTGGCCCCAGAGGTTGTCTCTTTCTCCTTTTCCTCCCCATGAACAAAGAGAGAGAAAACCTTGACGCGGGTTGCGGCATCTGTGACAAACAAACACTGGTCGCTGAGTCACAACTTGGAATAGGTCGCGTAGGGGAGTGAAGCAGAGGCTTGAAACAAAGACAGCAGTGAATCAAACAAACTGGCTCGATTGCAAAGATTACTTGTCGGTTTCAAAGGCCAGGTCACGGGCCATATCTCATGCCCCAGTGTGGGATTGCCACTCCTTCATCGTACGGTGATTGCGATAGATCAATGTCTAATAAAGAAAGTGACTCGAATTCCATAACATAGATCTCTTGAGTGCTGAGAGACCCTGGACACCATGACTTGCTGGCCACAAATCGAGAGCAACATGTCGGGAATAAATTGCACATGTCGAGCACAATTGTCAAACTCCGCACATCCCGATGCCTCCGGATCGTACGCCTCGAACAAGCTCGAGCAGGCTGTTTGCAGCTTCTCCCTTGATCACACTGCTAGTGAGACCGACGCCTCGGAGTTGCTTCCGTCGGGGGTCAGAGTCCCCTTCAACATCATCTCCGTGTCCACTAGGCGCCGGTCTGGACAGCTGCAGGGGCGTGCTAGGCTCGGTGTCTTGATGGGTCGCTCTCACGGTCAAGTGTCCCGCCGAGTAGTCTGCCTGCAAGACAGGAGGACTGCTGGCGATCTTGGGCAGCGGGTGCACCTCGCGGCTCTGACTCTCTTGCTGTGGCTCGACTTCATGATTCCATCTCGCGGAGAAGGCTGTTGGGATTATCTCTGGCATTGGCAAGCTTGAGAGACACTTAACAGTCGGTCTGGGACCCATGGTCGCGCTAGCTCGGGCCATGGCAACTCGTGTCTCTTGCGCGGCTGCGTTCTCTGGTCCAGGGCTCGGTCCCACAGTCGACGAAGATCTTGAGGACGAAGATGACCTAGTGAGCTGCGGAGGGGGAGATGTGACTTTGGGAACTTGAAGACGCGCGAATGGTCTTGTAATCTGGTTGGTTTGAATTTTGTAGAGGGCGAGCTGTAGTCGAGTCCGCAGCGTTTCAGCTTTCTAAACCAAAGTTAGACCAAGGAGTTACAAGGACAAACGGTCCATATACCTCGAGCATCATCTTCTTCCTGGCGTCCTTCTCCGTCTTGGGCTTTTGGTCCTTGGCCGTTTCGGGCTCTTCTATCATTTGCATGTCTTCATCTTCCGACGAGCGGTTGTTGTCGAAGTCGATCAGGCTGGACATGCTTAAGCTGATCTGAGAGGCTTCTTTGGCCAGGTTCGGGCGCAGAGGTGGGACAAGTTGAGGTGTACTTTGAGTGAATGTGACGGCGTGCTACATCTTTTACTTAGAAACGACACCTTGTGCCATTGAGCCTAACATACCATCTTATCCAAGGTCTGCTGGCTCGGCTCGTCGTGGATGTGGAATTCGCTCTCCATTTGAGACGATTCTTCCTGTGATGCACGGAAAGAGGTAAGGAGAGTGTCCAGTGTCGACCTGCTCTGGGCCATCGAGATTGGCACGTCTTCATTTTCAGACCGTGTGTCGCTCAGTAGCTTCGTGGTTGGCGACAGAGGGGCGGCCGTAACCACTGTATCTTGGGACCCTGCTTGTTCTTGATCGTGTACCGCTCCAATCTTCCGTTTCTGGCCAACGCGAGGACTAACTGATGGGGAGTGCTCCAAGGGAAGAGGACGCTTTGCAGAGCTTCGTTGCGCGACAGGACTGGCGGGTGGCAAGGCTCTGTTTGACACCTTTGAGGGTTGCTGATGCAAGAGCGCGTTGGGGTCTCTGTCACCGAGCACGCGTCTCGCAGGCGACACCATTTTGCACTCAATGGAGCTAAGGTGAGTGGAGGTCTATAAAACTTCAGGCAGACTGACTAATATGCCGCGATGTCAGTAAAGCACACGAGTCCGGCTGTCACACCAACTCACCACAGCAACAAACGGTCGCGCTGTCTCCTAAGATATACAAACGACCCAAACAACACTGTAGCAACAGAGATTCTGAGAGCAGTAAAAGCCTGAGATCACGGTGTCTCCTTACAAGGCTGAGTGCTCAATGCAGACGCGATGAGACCAAGCAAGTATGTAAATCGCGGTGTCACGTCGACTCGAAAGAAAGCGACGGACGGCGACACGGGTTGACAACCTGAATGGAGATGATGGCATTTGACGCACAGGCCGCATCTGGCTCCCGAAGATCAACCAGTAGCCCACTATTGGGCATCCCAGAGTGCTAAATTGAATGCCAATGGTTGCTAAGAGGGAGCTAATGGGTCATGCCGCCAGCTAGCGAGGCTTTGAGAGATCACCCCCAATCGTTCACCTGGCTTACCTGGCTTACCCGGCTTACTGTACCTAGGGCCCGAGTCCCGCAGCTTTAACTAGCGAGCCGCGTCAAGTGGGCACCTACCGAGTACAGCCCGTGCTCTGTCTGGGGAAGCCTCGTCAGCCTCGTGAGCCATTACTTGTGCAGTACATAGAGCCCCGCTTATATACCAGCACCATGACTACTATCTTCAACTGGGATAATGCATGCTTTCCGGAACAAAGAAAGGACTACAATTCCATATCAAACAGTCTCTCCAACGTCTCATCCATGATCATTCCATCATAGACATACTCCCTTTTGAACAATCCTCGCACATACTCGAAGCTCGGATATCCTAGCCTTCTTGCCAGTATCCCAAAGCGCATGGAGAACCATTCCGTCGGTGGTGCCGTTCTCGCGGCGTTACCCATCCTGAGATTCTCTGGTTCCTGTCCTTGTGCTCGGGCGGCAGCGACAACTTCTGGCATCACCGTTAAATCCGAGATCTGGTTTCGTCCTTGCTGCTTCCTCACCTCCTCCTCGAAGCATGCACCAATGGCAACGATCCAGAGAAGATCCTGCGCCTGTGCCTGGGCGGTCGAGTCGTTATTGGCTAGCGCATCTAATAATGGATCTTCTATTGTCGTTGCCAGATCGAGGTCCTTGACCCGCTGCAAGAGCACCGTGTCCATGGCTTTGATCCGTTCCCACATCTCGGAATGCTGTGTTGGTATTGCGAACCACGGCTGCTTGATGGGATGGGCCTCAAGGCTGAGATAAATGAAAAGTTGGGCCGCAAGGCACAGCGACGAGTCCAGCGAGCAGCCCGGCGTGTTTGGCGAAGGCTGTGTGTTGAGCTGATCCACTGAGCTGTGCCAAAGATTCCACAGGCGCATTTTCAGGGCAATCCTTCGGAGAAACGACCATCGGAATATCGGACTGAGGTGATCTTCGTCGGACCAGGTCCCCTGCCTTTTCACCTCTTCGACAGCAACCAACTCTCTCAGTCCAGCCAAGATATTTGACAAAGTCCTACCAAGGATATCAGTCTGCCGGGATAACGGACTTTGAATCCCGTCGATTTGTCGAGGTGTCGAGTTCATGGATTGAGCATTCCACGGTCCAGGGTCCCATGACGAGGGGTCGATTTCCGTGCACGTACCTGTTACGACGGCAATTTTGGCAAAGAAATGCACAAACAATTCTCGGTAGACTAAGGGCAGCCTGTTGAGACCTCCCAGAAGTTGAATCAACCTCTTTAGCGCACATCGGTGTTGGAAGCAGCTGTCATCTCCTGTCCGAACAGACTCTGAATATTCCGCGCTCGCCAGCGGCCAGATCGTCTGCAAGATGAGAAGAAGTTGGCCGTACGAGTAGTCCAGGTTGTCGATCAGACCCCGGAGGCACTTGAAGCACCTCACAGAATATTGCAAGGATCTTTGCCGGTGAACATCTGCCTTCTCCGGCTGCGCGATGGCCATCAGGTTGTAGACGTACGACAGCAAGCCGTTCAGAGGAGCCGCATGTTCGAAGTACTTTCTATACAAGACCTGGTGGGCCAGGTACAGACTACCTCCCTCCCGGCACGCGGCGAGTTCGTCGGGCCAATTAATTGCATACGTAAACGACCGGGTGTAGGTCAGAATGTCGTGGCTGTCGGCAGTGACAGGGACAGGCATCGAGTCAAATGGATCGGACTTTCCATTCCCAACGACACTATGGGGGTCGAGAGGAATGATGGACGGAGGGGTGGAATCGCTCCATAGTTGGTCGGCACATCTCTGTCCAGCGTGATCTGAGGCTGATTCGACTTCGTCACACGCAGTTCTTCTGTTCTTCTTTCTTCTGTTTGGCCGGGCAAAGGACGCCGCACGCAACGCCAACGTGCGTACCTCTTGGCGATCTCGTGTCCCTTGAAAATTGCTGGGCGTCTTGGTACTCATAAAGAGCACACGCTTTGAAGTCGTCGTCGCCATTGTGTCAATCGACTCTTCGGCCCTCGTAACGGTGCTTTGGGGCCTGATACGTTGGAGGAAGGACAAAGGAGGTTTTCAACGCCACTCTGGTCCTTTTTCTTGTATTTAACGTCAGATCGCCGACCTGGCCTCCAAGTCAACCAATCTAACCTCCCAGAGAAGCTTTTGGGGCGTCACGACAGCGACCGTTGGTACCGCTTTTTGCACACTTGTTAGTCATCGTCTTGGGCGAATCAAGCAGATAAAGCAGCCGTGCCCATGCAGGCAGCGGGGCAGGATATGCAACAACCTCTAACCGCGAAAGAAGGGACTAAGCCAGACCTTCCCACAAATCGCTTACAGGACAGGTCTAATAAACGATGCTGCGCTATCAATTTCATACACCGTAATTACTAGCGCGGGGGCCGGAGTTTCTCACAGGTTTTACCCTTTTGGTGGCAGAGCCAAGGCTGCACGAGGCTGTATTGCAGGCGGAGGCCCAGCGAACACGACAGTGCGACGGGGGATAGATCACCGAGCAGTGCGAGGGACCAAGGGTGTTGACAGGTGATGCTCATTCTCCATTCTTTATTCCCGCTCTTAGGTCAAATTTCATAATCTCATAATCAGAGAAACCGGGGCCAACCTTTCCAACAGGGAAACGATCCATCCACCACCTGCTGGTGAGGCCGTCCCGGTCTCCCTCAAATCCGTCTCATCTGTGTGCAGGTGCCGAATACCACTCAATAGGACCATCTTGACACATCATGAACCCTTTCGGAGTCGTCATCAGACAGATCAATGCTCCCCGTCCGCTGTTCTGCAAGGTTCAATCGCTATCTTCAAACGCTGCCATCATCAAGCCTGTTGATCTTGTGCTGGCCCTAATGAAACGTCCAAGGGCACATTGCTTTTCTCTCCCATCTTACTGGTCATGCAAATCGCTGTGTTGATCAACCAAAAATGCCGCGCAATGCTCTCTCATTCAGGTCTCGCCCGTAGCTCGCCCATCTTCTCTACAGATTTTCATATATGATTCGCATGGAACCTGAACCGTCAACGCCGTGGCCGAGAACCTGGACCAATGTATATCGCACCTGCGGGCCACAAAACTTGTGCTCCTTTGGCAAATCGTGATCGTTGTTCAACAAAAAACAGTAAAGTTTACTGGAAACCCCACTTGTCCGTCAAGTAAACGGATCATCCCTTGATCGGGAAGCCGACATCTGTCGCAGAAAATGAGGTGGATGAAGGGTATTAAACATCGCTAGCCGTTCTCCGATGCTCAACCCATTGTGCCCATGATTTGGTGTCGTCGCAAATGCACTTGTATTAATGAAAGGGTCACTCAAGCTCGGCACGTGTCGAGGATTCTTGGAGCGGTAGCTTCGCTTGTTAGGGTCAAGTTCAAAAGGGCTTCCTAGTCGCTTCTGACTTGAATCTGGCTCGGGCGGAGCAAGGTCACTCGCGTTTGTCGTCCGAGCATTGGGGTTTGCCAAAGCAGTCAGCGAGGCTGGCAATGGCGGGACTGGGGAAATACCATCAGCGCCCGGGACCTGAGAGGTCGGAGGCGTGAAGAGTCGCTCGACGTGTTCTCGATTGTTCATCGCGCCCAAAGTGGCACCACGATTTCGAACTCGAATTCTCCGCTGGTTGAGGTCTCCTGCTCCGGTAAACACCAGCTCCGGTCGAACCAGACGCTCTGGCTCAAACACAGCCGGCGTAGGGAGACTGTTGAGGTCGAGATTGAGTTTCTCAATATTGCTTCCGCTAGGGCTCAGCTCGTCCTCCAGGTTATGCTGAGCACGACGCTTGTTGACGTTGAGAGAGCTTTCCGGCTCAAGCTTGAATGGGGAGAGCAAACGTGTTCCGGTAGCGTGAACGGTCTCGAAGTGATTGTGGCTTATATGGCGCCGATGCTGACTGTTCGAGTTGCTTGATCCATTCCAAGTACTGTAATTGAACGGCGAAGCCAAGCGCGGAATATTGCTTGCAACTTGCAGCTTGTCAGGCTCTGCCTCGATGCCTAGACCTGCAGGAGTGGAGATGGACATGGCGTCGGAAGAGGAAGCGTTGACGGGGGTATTGAACCAGTCGTCCGACATCAACTGTGTTGGAGGCGAATCACCCGTTACCAGCTGGGCCAGAGGGGCAGTTGCACCACTCGCAACGAGCGAGATGCCGAGTTCTCGCGTGGCATAGGTAGTTGACGCTTGCGGGTCTTGATGAGAAGTCGACCGGGCCAGTCGAGACGATGGCCGACGAGGAAACTGTTCGTGAAAAGGCGATGGGCTTCTGGATTCGCGCAATCGCTGATAATGGGCCGTGATGGTGAACTTCTCTTTACACAATTGTTTGAGTCGCTTTCTCGTGGCCGACTCGGAAGGCCAAGGACTCCGTGCATCATTGTGGTCGGTTCGGAGAAAGTCATTCGGTTCAGGCGTCTTGTCCCTGACAAAGTTTCGAGTCTCAATGACATTTCGCATCTTGTATCGTCGAATGAGCGGTTTGGTCACCCTTGAAGCTCTGGGCCATGTCTCCTTGGCTCTCCGAGC